CTGTGACGACCACGTTCTCACCAACCGCAAACCTGTTTGTTTATCTCGGTCATAAAGCAGTTGGTCCCACGACGCTTCATTGGCAGATGCACGACTACCAAGCAGTGCGTCAACCACTAGATTTTTGCTGCACTGCATAATCGGCGTGCTGGTCTTGAAAATCGGCTGCATAGCGGTCGTCGATGTGTTTCCACCATCGACATTACGGCGTGTCTCTTCTGCAAGTCAATTCAGGTTTATTAACTAGTAAAGTCAGCATAAATTAATCTTTACAAGACACTGCATATTACCATAAAATATGCAATATATACAGATGACTAATGAAATGCACCAGCCGAAGTCAAGATCTGAACTCAAAAGCAATTCTGGTTGTTTTACCTTATTGCCGTTGCGCAGTGAATCGGCTATACCTGTCTTTGCATATAACTTTGTCCATAGCTTCATTTGTTTGCCTTTTTTGCCACTTCCATTTATATATTTATAACTTGATTTACAAAGATATGCGCTGAAAAATGAGATGAAAATAAGATCCTTCAGAAATCTATTTCAAGTACTACACTTTCACTTCATGTGAAGATATACTTAGACAGTTGCTCTTGCAGCTGTGGCCTTTACAGAGACATTATCGGTAGTGGTAGAATTGATCGTTGGTCCAGCTCTCTTCTAGTTGGCTGGTAGTTGAACCGGCTACGCGTGCCATAATGCAAGAATATTGCACTCGGAAACTAAAAGTGCAACGAGGGACTTTCCTTAGTCAGTTCGGTCAACGACATTCGAATTCGTGTCGAGTGCATCATTTGTCGTAGAACACAAGTTAATCTGGAGTAAAGTTTGCATTCGTGAACGATGAGGCGGTCGCCTTTGAACTAGCGGTCCGTTGTCTGGCGTTTCCCCAATTACCATATATGCGTTTGCGGTGCTGACCATCGGCGATCGAAATCCAGTTGTCGCCCCTGTCGCCGGAGTAAAGTGGCGTCCCAGACCGAATACTCGGAGCGTAGACGGTCCGGCGCACCTGCCTGACGGTCTACAGAGAGCTGAGTAAACACTCCACAGTTTTAAGCTGCAGTGAAGCGCGGTTTCCATGCAGATTAAAGGGCAGCCGTGGACATTGGTCTGAAGCTAAGCAAATATTTAGCGAGCTCGTTTGACGCTGACTTGGAGCTGGCTGCCTTTGCCCATTGCGGTTCTTAGTTTCATTCAGTGGAAGCCACCGTTTTAGCGATCTGCCAAGCAGATGCTTTTGGTTTCTTTGCAACCGGCATTCGCCCCAAGCCACATAGGGATAATTCTCGATCACCTTTCGATCACGTGATGATCAATGTTCGTTGAAGTCCGCCAAAGGCACTACAAAAATTAACAACCGTTGATGATCTTGATGAAGCCGAAGTTAGTCGAAAGCTCTCTGAAACAACGCTAATTGCGAGAAGGTTGCAAGCGATCAGCTATTAATCACCTACGAAACGCTTACTCCTTTGTACGCCTGTTCCGGATGGCCATTAATCTCGGCGTATGACCATAAATTGGGTACCAGTGTCATTAAGGCTCTTATTTTTGGCAGTAAAGCCCACACATTATGGAAGATTACTTCGTATTGATTAACATCGACCGAGCGGCGGCGGATGGCTTTAGCCCCCTAGGAGGGAACGCACCGCGATTGCTTTTGTGCGCCTGAAATGAAGTTGATTTAATGGCCAAGCAGCAGGTGAGTATATGTACTTCACAGTGTTCACCTGCCGTCTCCGAGTTATAAATCAACGTTCACTTGGAGCGATTTCGCCGTTGGTTTCGCGGTCGCCTTTCTGGCCAGCTAATCGCGAAACTGGACTGGTTGCAAAACTCGACGCCAGCTTGACCACCAACTTCAGGTATCGACTTTGGTCTTTATGATGACCTCGATTTGAAGTTCATAGATCATCTTCCAGCAGCGACGGTAATTCAAGTGGCTGTTTCCTTTGCGCCCACTTTCGCCAAACATCCCAATTAAGCACATTGTTATTCAAGAATGCAATTTTTTCTTGTGACACAAAAACTACCACTGTTCTACAGCTGATTCGTAAGATCTGTCTATACTCTGTCCTGATGTTGTCTCTTTTAGGAAATGATCGTTGCTGCGACTTTGGCATCTATCCTGCTGATCTCGGCAGTCAAGGCGTTTTGTCCGTATGGCTGTGCCTGCGTCGACTCGGCATTGACGGTCGAGTGTGACGGTGCCTCTTTAACCAGCATACCGATCTTGCTTAATCCAAGAACAAAGTCGCTTAAATTATCCAACAATCTTATTCATGATGTCACTTTGGACGAGCTTAGCTTTTATACGGAACTTGAGTTTCTGGATCTGTCCGCAAACAAGATTCAGACGATAGAAAAGGGCGCTTTCTTCCGCTTGCAAAACTTGAAGATTTTGAAGTTGAATCAGAATCTGCTCGCGTCCATCGGTCCCGAAACTTTTACCGGTCTGGCATCGTTGAAGGTATTAGACCTGAGCGAAAATGGCATAGCAAGAATTGCCACATCCGTGTTTGCCGACCTTCATTACTTAGAAACCTTAAACTTGACGTTCAACTCGATTTCCTCGTTTTCTCCCGGAGCATTTACCGGACTTGGACGACTGAAAGAGCTGCACACGCAGTACAACGAAATCACCACCATCCCCAAGGTGGCTTTGCATGCACTGACATCGTTGAAACTGCTCGATTTCAGCCATAACCGAATATCGTTCCTGAACGCAGAAAGTTTCGTGCTGCTGAAAGAGCTCGAAATACTGAATTTCGGCTACAATTCGTTAGACTCGATCAACGAGTACGCTTTCCTCGGCCTCAATAATCTGAGACATCTTCACCTAGACAGCAATCAGCTGTATCGCATCCCGACGCTAGCCTTTCGACCGTTGACAGAGCTTCAGACGCTCAGCATGCGGGACAACTTGATCGAAGAAATACCCACCAGTGCGTTCGAGGGACTGAATCATCTTCGCCAGCTGACGATTACCCACTGCAACCGTTTGGCTTCGATTTCACTGAACGCGTTTTCCGGCCTATTCGATCTTGAGACTCTGATTCTGTCCGACAACCAGGCACTGTCCGAGCTGCACCCGATGGCTTTCGAGCTGAACGCGCCAGTGGCGTTGCGGCAAATCTATTTGATCAGCAACAACCTGAACCAGTTGCCCAGGAACTGGCTGCCGTGGCAGCAGTTGACTACGCTGGATCTGCGCGAAAACCCATGGCAGTGCACATGTGAGTTTGCATGGATCGGCGAGGTGCTACGAGGGCTGTATCCCGAGGCCTCGCGCGACAACGCGATGGCGTGGGGCCCAACGTGCGACGGCCCAGAAGACGTCAGACAACAGCCGCTGTACGAACGCGACGAGAGTGAGTTTCGATGCGTCAGAGAGAACCGCTTGATGATGATCATCACCATCGTCTGCGTTCTGACGTGCTTATCACTTCTCACCGCCCTCGGTGTACTGATCGTGCGCTTCCGGCATAAGTTGTGCTACGTTTTATTCCGTCCCGATAATAAGCGTGGCTTCTACGGCACTACGGTTATAATTCCGGACCACAAGGACGCAGACAAGCAAAAAACATTACTCTATTCGTACGTTTATCCGAATGAATGCCAGACATTCTTGTCTTCTTCGTCATCAGACTATTATTACTGCAATAATGGACTTCCGCCGTCGCCTAGTCCTCCGGTGCTACCTCACCGACTGTATTTGAACGATGGCGGCGGCTACAGAATGATTCAAGGATATCCGACTCCTATTACGGAACTTTAACTGTTAGAAAACAGGAAGTTTTTTGCGACTTTATCTGTGATATTGCATTTTATATCAAACCTAACCGTGTCTAAAAAATAAACACTTGGTCGTGATAACTGTTAACGGAATTCGGAACTAAGCGATTGGGCGAATTATGTACTTTTCCCATTCGGAACATAAGCAATGTTTTGTTGATTTATGTATTCATCATAACATTAATAGCCTCTTCAGTTATCCTGCTTTTGTACATCGTTTAGAAACAGTGACCGGGCTGAACATTCAGGCGAACTGCTTAAGCAATTTCTAACCAGTTTGTCGAATCCTTTAAAAGTTCGCGGAGATGTCGCCTGCAGCAAGTTACATGATATCACATCCATGCTGCCGTAACAACGGATCCCATGGTTGGAAACAAAGAAGAAATCAGTGTTATAACTTGTGCTGATTATTACACTGGAAAGTCAGCTATCAGGTCAGTCAGTGCGAACTGCAGCTATGAGCGACATTCGCAACATGGCCATACGCCTTGTCTGTTCAGGCATAACTATACCAGAATACTATACTGTACCTATTATTGGCAAGTCACTGGATTTACTACCTATTTTTTAGCTGGTTGCTCCAAAACGTCATGTGATTAATTTTTTGCTCAAGGTCATTCGCTATTTGGACAATGATTGCCCATTTCGAACGAATTCGAACCCCCAACTTTCGAGTTCAAAGCAGACCACTTCTCCACTGTACGATTACGCCCCAAAATTTTGAGACTCTCATGAATTTGAATGTCATCTTTGCCAGTCTTCTCTGTGTCCTAATTTTTTATATGTCCATAGAACGATATGACCCATAAAAAAGCAGGATATGGCTGACCCGTCATGTTTATTTATGGAAATCTAGACAGGAGTCGCGCTACAGGCCTGTGGAAAGGCATCCTTCAATCAAACTTGCAGTCGATTAAAAAAATTATTTCGTGAAGTTACAACTCGTAAAAGTCAGACTAATTTGCTTGCTTTCCCCATCACCTCTAAAGCGCTTAAGCCCTGCAGTTCATAAGCCGTGCTCTAAGTGACTGCGATAGGAACAAACGCATAAATTCTAGATGAAAAATCAAGCAGTAGAATAAACATTAAGTCTAATAGGATTCTGAGTCCGCAATTTGAGAACATTTACTTCGATGGCAAAAAGAATGGCACACTGGTTAAAGAGGTTCAAGTAGGATATTTAAAACGAAAACACGTTTACACGGAGCATGAAATAACAACTTAAGGAAAATATGCGCAATCACCGCACTGGCTGTGTTTGCACAATCATGTCAGCACCGGAATATCTAAGGTAGCTGGCAAATCCATTCAATCATGTTTGTTGCAGGTGCCAGCAACGGAAAGCATAACATAAAATTGAAACACTATTTCAGCCGTTGCCATAGCTAATCTGAGCGATTACAATATCATGAGACTAAAATATGACAGAGAAATCACTAGGCAATATTTAACTATCTTAAGCAATAGAAAGTGAAAGCGATTTGTGATGAAGATTAGTAAATAGCACATTTAACTGCGATACAGTAAGTATTATATTCTGTTCAGGGGACGGGCGACGTGATGCACGAGACAGCGTTGGGCAACGTTATTGCATCGCATTTCCTTGGTTCCGACAATACGAGTTGCCTGAACGTTCATTTTCTTTTGGTAGATTTTTGATGTTATCAGCCAATCCGACAAATTTACTTAACTGAATCATAAGACGCAGAGTAAGTTGCCAAAACTTGAATATAACAAATGAACAAATACACAACGAGCAATGAAAGAGTGGAATTTTATTAGGCTTGCCTGGTCTGGGCTGAAAAACTATTTTTCTTTCTTGGGATTGAACAGCGATCGGAATGACTGACGATAATCCTCAGTCCGTCACCTGCAGAAAAAAGGCCATTATTAAAAGTACTGGTCCAAAGGGTGAGTTTGATAGGCTAAAATAGAACTGCTAGGCAAAACATGCGTGTTTATCATGAATCTGATTAAAATGGATTCAATCTCGTCAGAGCCGCAGCAACTGAATCGATCAAGTAGCTTCGAAAGGATCTCAATCCGAGCCAGCTGTTTTTCTGGGGACAGTTTGACTTGCATCGTATGTCGAAATACTGCAGGTTGTCTTCGCAGAACTAAAACTTCTTGGAACGGTTTGCACTCCAGGTCGGGTTGATGAGTGTTATTGAACCCGTGCCACGTGACGTAACTCTCCAGCGACGATCAAAGAGAAACAAATGAAGCCCTCTGAACTGACGATTTTCGCATCGTCCGTGGGATGTAGCCGTGTTTCTTCTACGAGAATGAAGCAAATATTGCCGAAAAGTAGTATGGTAAGAAACGTCTTGAACTCTTCGAGCTTCAGGGGGGCGGCTAGTGATTTTTGGAAATTATCGCTGGAAAATGAGGGCTTTTGGCGCTGTTATGTTGCAGTATCACGTCATCCACTTTATCGCCGCACCTGATCTCTCGAATGCTTCCGCGGTGTGCCAAGAGAGAGTAGAAACGAAACAACAAGAAATCCACTGGTTGGCACGTGTTACAACTAAATATGCAAGACGTTGACGCACATGATGCGTCAGCATGATGAGAGACAGGTGGATGAGCTTCACGGGAGAATTCATCAAGTCGTAAACCCTCCTCTTTTCTCATCCATGCCTGGAATCGGCAGCCATACAGTTATTCGTCGATAGCCCTCTATATCTTCTTTTACCTTAGCCCATCAGCTGTCATCGGCTGTCCGTAGAGTAGAAGACAGGGTGAAAAGCTTCACTAAGCTTTAACTGGTCATTAATCTGGACAGTATCTCTCAGCTCTCCCCGTGACCAGCCTGAAACTGCAATAGAAACGTAATTTTTCTATATACAACGCAAAAGGTAGTCAATCAGTGATTCGTTGATAACAACGTTAACGCCAGT